AGTAGATGAGTTTTTAAGGTAGCTGAAGTGGGAAGTACGCTGACTGACTTTTGGGATCAACCTGACTACGCATAGAATTAAAAACTTCATTGTAGTTTTTTTGGATATAATTTGAGCGGAATGTGCAGCTTTTAATACCTTTTGTCTTATGAAAGTGATGTCAAGATTTACAATTGGTTGACGGAATCTTAAGGAATTTTGAGGGGTAGTTTTTTTTTTTTTGAATAGTTTGCGGTTTGGTTGCAAAAAGAACTAATGGTCATTCTTGCCTTTAGCAGCCCAGCGTTTTCTAAGGCTAGAAATTGAGTAAACAATTACTTGACAAACTGCAGACCCCTATCTGCTTTTCAAGGGCCTTATCCAAATCTGAACAACTGATAGAGGATTAAAACAGATTCGCCATTGGGACTCCTACATTTTTGTAAAATACGCGTTTTTTCTATTTTACAAGCAAAGTTCTTACGAGGTTTTTTTACGTATACAAAAATTTTTTTATCATAACTAATTTCATATTTGATTTCAAAGCGTTTATTTTGCTAACAGCTATAGTGATCTCTGGCTTCTCCTTCAACCTTCCTACTCTTAGTGGCGGGTCTGTAATGAAATGGCGTCCAAACACTGTATACTTTTTATTAGGTTAATACCAAAAAGTTGTTTGAACATAAAGTGTTTGGAAGAGGCTAAAGTTTTTGTTGTCAAACGGAAAACAGGGCGCTCTCGTGACTGAGAAAGCGATAAGGTCGCTGTGACCAAGAAAAGATCACGGGAAAAAAGTCCTCCACATAGATTCTCTTAAGCCTTCCTAATATTTCCTTGACAACTAGTTACAGAAAGGTAGCTTATTGGGCCGGCAACCAGCAGGAATTGCTAAAGGTCTTTGTACCCTCTGTTAAAAAACATTTTCAACGCATTTGTTGTATAAAATATATTAAACATTTGGAGAAATTTTTCATGGAACAGATATCTTTACCGTAATTTCTTGTTGTAGAGTTGAGGGCACTTTTGAGTCTTGAAGTACTGCCACTTGTTTTTATCCCTGATTCATATCGATGAAGCCAACGAAGCTTCTCCCTATTCGTAGGACCTTCAAGAAAACAACGAGTATTGCTTGGTGGACTACGTATATTGAAGTAGGGCAATGCAGGTAATCTACCGGGTATTTCAACATTTTGTGTTCACAAGTTTTTTATAAGGTTGCTATTTGCATATGGAACATCTCTAAGTGCAGTGGAAATTTTTTAAATCAAACCATTCTTTTTTTCTTGAGAAAGAACGAAAAAACAGAAGAGAGAAACGAAGCCGTTGTAGTACAAGGTTTTTTTGGATTTTGAGTGATTTGAATAAGCAGTGCTGAAATTGTTATGGACACCGGCTTTGGGGGAGGGGGTACTTAACTTAATTCGTAAGGCCACCAAAATTATCTTTGAATTCGATGATGACACTGGGCAGCTAAACATGCTAGTTTTACAAAAATTACTTTATTTTTGCTTAATTTTGGTGGCGGGTCTATAAAACAAATAACGAAGTCGAAATCACTCATAAAGAATTCTGGATTTTTTAAAAAAATTACAGTAATGACTTATTGTACTGAAAAAAATGGTTTGAGGAATGAACAAACACGCTTGGAATGTCAAGTTTACTCACAGTATTAGGAAAAAAGTGAGAGCATCAGCTTATTGACATGTCGTAAAGAGAGTAAAAATTGGGTTATTATGGAAAATTTGTCAAGCTTTCATATTTTATGCAGGTTCAGCTTTATAATGAGTATAATATTAGGGCCGTTCGGAAAGTTTCAGCAATTTTTATTCTGGTTTAGTTAAAGTTCGTCAGCATCGTCACCAGTGCTTATAATTAGTTACTGGAGTTGTAGGCCTGCAAGCGGTTTAATGCATCTGCTCCTGCTTGGTCGGGGAAGAAAGTACCTGCAAGAGGGGTGTTTTTTACGCCGGGAAGGTAGCAAGAAGGAATAATATGAAAGAAACTTTGCGAATGAGAAAGCCAGCTCTTTTTAAATGCGGAATTTTGAAGTGCTATTCATTATTTATGACGGCAGAAGCATCATTAAAACATTAACCGTTTGTTTTTCAGCTATGGCATTTACGGATCTCTTGCCTATCCGCTACCTTCCAAAGAAGCGCACAGCTCATCGTACATTTAACTGCATCACGCATTATGAGGTGGAAATTGTCGTTCTTTTTAGGAAAGATTAGTGCATTTGAAAGTTGAGGTACCAACTTTATTGGTTACTGCACCTTATCAAACATCTTTTGTGTTGTGTCAAAGAACAGGATCTAAAAAATAGAATTTTCTAAAATTTGGATAAGTTTCAATACACTTTTGCAAAAGTATGCCAGAACATATCATAAAGTCAGACAGTTGGATGGTGGCCGCAAAAGCTGTAAAACTTTGAAAATTTCTACCATGATTCCAAACAGCGGTGCTATTGTTTTGACCTACACTGTATACGCTCTTATAAGGTTACTTAAACGATGAAAGCGGCTTTAGTAAC